AAGGTTGTTGGATATTCAGCTATTTGGGTGGTCTGGGCATGGATCAGCTCCATGGGAGAGGACTTCTTGGTTTCTTTGTAGTCCTGGATGACAAAACCTCCAGAATTATATTTCTGAAGGGAACTTGGTTCAAAATGGCTCCGTTTATCTGATGAATTTCTGTCCTTATCTCAACTTCCACGATCCATGGTGCTAGGATTTGGACCAAGTAAGGCTATAGAGGAACCATAAGTCAACCAGCCTCTGGGCCTCTGCTTAGGGGAAGAGTGAGAGGTGCTACTTGGGGCAGATTGGGCAGATGCAGGTTGCTTTTCTTTTGTTCTCTCTCTATTCTGCAGCTTTAGTTTGTAGTGTGCTTCTGCCCCTCAGAGGTACTTGGTCTTCTTGGTAGTAAGGCCCTTATGAGGTGTATACAGAGCAACTCTTAGTCTTGCCTTTTGCTCAAAATGTTGAATGCTCTCCTGGGTGTTTTATGATTAGAGAATTTATGATGACACGAGTAGCTTTAGCCTTAACCTTGTCCATATTGTCAGTGATCCTTGAAAGGGTCATGGGGGCTGGTTTCTTTCCTATTTCTCCTCCTTTTTTATTTTTGAGGGGGTGGGTACTGGGGATTGAACTCAGGACACTCAGCCACTAAGCCAAATCCCCAACTCTATTTTGAATTTTATTTAGAGACAGGGTTTCACTGAGTTGCGTATCACCTCACTGTTACTGAGGCTGTCTTTGAACTCCATCCTCCTGCCTCAGCCTCCTGTTTGCTGGAATTACAGGCATGCACCACCGTGTCCAGCTCTTTCCTCCTTCCTAATGAGGTGCTGATACTTGTACTCTGGAATCACTGTTTTCCAGGGGATGCTGCCCATGTCTGATGAAGAAGGAGTGATGGGTGCAGGGTCCTTGGGACATCATCAATGCTGAATATCCAGAGACACATCTGCATGGGCAGGGACACATTGTCTACAGGCCCACTAGGTCCAAGAGCCAAGAACAGAGACACTAGGCACTTGTGCTTGTCCTGAATCATTAAAAGACTGGGATCCATACGCTTTTCCTATGTATAATTCAGGGCTGAGACAATTCACAATAGCTAAACTGTGGCGCCAACCTAGATGCCCTTCAGTGGATGAATGGATTAAAAACTGTGGCATATATACCCAGTGGAATTTTACTCAGCAATAAAAGAGAATAAAATCATGGCATTTGCAGGTAAATGGGTGGAGTTGGAGAAGATAATGCTAAGTCAAGTTAGCCAATCCCCAAAAAACAAATGCCCAATGTTTTCTCTGATATAAGGAGGCTGACTCATAGTGGGGTAGGGAGGGGAAACAAGGGAGGAATAGATGAATTCTAGATAGGGAAGAGGGGAGGGAGGAGGGAAAAGGAGGAGGCAGGGGATTAGCAAGGATGGTGGAATGTGATGGACATCATTATCCAAAGTACATGTATGAAGACACGAATTGGGTGTCATCCTACTTTATATACAAACAGAGATATGAAAAATTGTGGTATATAGGTGTAATAAGAATTGTAATGTAAAAACCCCAAGTACATGTATAAAGACATGAATTGGCATGAACATACTTTATACAAAGATATAAAAAATTGTGCTCTATATGTGTAATAAGAATTGTAATACATTCTGCTGTCGTGTATTTAAAAAAATAAAATAAAAATTCAGGGCTGAGTCCCTGTCACCACAGTGAAATGATGTCATGACATGCTGTCAGGTGTTCATGAGGAACTTTGTCCAGGTGCTGCAAATTAGCAAAGCTTCCCAAGAAAGTCTGATCTGCTGCCTCCAAGCTGCCTGCGGCTCAAACTCTGGCGTTAAAGAGGATCCCAGGGACCACATCTCCCAAGAGGATGATGTGTGCAGCCCAGATCCAGCCATGGTGAGAGCTGCAGCAACACTAACTGCCCCTACCACCATCTAAAGAGCACAAGCTGGCAGGAAATTTTTCTGAAATCTGTCTCAACATTTTCAAGTGAGTATATTGTGGTTCACAAGAAATATTCAACTAAGATTAAAAATAACTACAGTCTTAGTCCTAGAATTACCATAATGTGGTAAATTAGGTGACTTCTACACAAATTGCTAATCTGTAAAATGAGAGGATTGGGGTTCTTCTCAGACCATTCTCAGGGACTGTCTGAGAAAAAGCAAAAACAAAACACCCAATAATTAACATTAGGCACAGGATTCAAAAGTCACAATGAAAAAAGAAATCACAGTGACTTCCAAGTTAATACAGGTAATGATCCCATATAATAATAAATGTTACAATTGATATAGGGAATCAAGCCAGAAAATGGGTATGACATAAACTTAATTGTCAAGTCAGAATTAACTAGATGTAAGCATTAAATTAAAACTACCTAGTTCTTTTCTTCATGCCCACAAAAGGTGAAAAATGGTTTTTTCTCTCCTTAGTCCACTAGGACCTTAAGATCTTATTTTATGATTAACATATTTCATTAATGAAAATTGTCTGGCTGGTAGTCTCTTGTGGTTTTTAAAAAACTCCTGGAAGTGTATCAGTTATGTAGGAAAATAGTGAGTTCCCTATAAGAGTATTTAAACAGAGGCTGGACTATGTCAGAAATGTAGTTAAGGATTCAAGCAACTGAGAGAGAAGTAGAAAGAAGTAGGTATATCAATTATCTTAAATGTCCTTCCTAAACCTAAGATGCTCTATCAAAGTTCCAAAATTAAACACCTACATGGATCAGGGTGGTAACAAGTATAAAAATGTAGGAGTCATGGGGTTCAGGCAGAACACATACATTTGTAAACCAAGTAGCCATTAATTAGCTCCAGTTAATTGTTGCCAGGAAGATAGGCCAAGTCCTCTTCTGATTTCACCATAAAACATGTCATTCTAATCTCTGTACTTCCTGTGGACCTGGACCTGGGGGTTTTTCTCCACAAACTCTGGGTTTGCTCCACAACTGATCAGCTAGTACTTGGCATTGATAAGTGCTATTTGTTCAAATTCTGCCTTAGAAATAAGATATTTTTAAAAATTATGGTATAGGTTAGCTTTTAAAGATTTTATGTTGTTATTTGAGTTAGCATGATGGCAGAAAATATAGAGGAAGCGGGTACTTGAGACAGTTTTAATTTTCAAGCATGTCTGTCATGTTGGAAGAACCACTGTCATATGCAGAATTATATTAAAGTCACTTGGAAAAATCTACATAACACAGATGCAGATGGAAACATGATGGAAGAGCAGTTACTTTTGGGTTTTAGGCTTAGGTGTGTTTACAATAAGCAGCATCTCTTTAAATATCCTCAGCTCTCAGGATTTCTCGAAAATATGAAAAGTAAAAAGGATAGACTATGTTCATTTACTCAACAGACATTGCTTTGAACTCTCATTCCTCACTTGGATTTTAAGTGATTAGTTATAAAAGCCATAAAAGTTCTTTATGTACTTTGAAAAACAAATAAAAGTTAGCTTTCAGTTATATGTATTTATAAATTTCATCTCATAATTCTTAGCATTTAGAATTTACAGGTGTATGGTTGATACTTAGTACATGTTTGTTGAATTAAAAGTTACAGGCTGAGTACTAAGTCTAAAGAGTGAGAAGGATCAAAATTTAATTTCTTGGAGTAGTGAGTCACGCAAATGAGTACCTGCTCTTTTTTATTTTCCCATTTCAACTACACATGGGCTCTGTCAGAGAGGGAGGTGAGTGGCTAGTGGTAAGAGCACTGCCCTAGCAGTCAGGAGATCTAAGTGAAAGTCTTGGCTCTGCCACTGTCTAATTTTGTCATCCTGGAAAAGCCATTCTTTTAGGGTACTTTTTAGCATGATTTTTTTTTTTTTTTTTTTTTGCCCTAGTGTTCTTTTGTAAACCATTTTTTTTTAATAACCGAAAATCAAAACCACTTACTTAAAGTGCCATAAAATGCAAGGGCATCATTAACTAATTATAAAACATGCCAGTGTAATAAATGGTGTAATAATTATAACGGTACAAAACGAGTGGTGCTGTAGTCTCACACAAAAAGAAATTCTGATTAGGAGGACTAAAAGATCCGTTCGTTGTTGACATGTCAGAGATGACAAATGTCAGAGATGATGACATTTGAGATGGAATTACAGAAAGAGAAGGGGGTAAGCCCATTTCAGGCAGCAGGAAACTGGAGCAAAGGCAGGGGAGAACCACAAAACATTGAGTGCCTTCTTGGTGCTTCGTGGTTATTCAGTGGCTATCCTTCGGAGCTGGAGGACCGGTTTACACAAGGTGCTGGGGACTACCGGGGCCAGGTTAACATCCTTGACTGCTTGGCTAAGGAATTTCGTAATTATTCTGTATGAGTCATCCAGGTGTTAGAAGCAATCAATCTGTCACTGAGCTTTACAGTTTACAACGTGCTTTCCTGTCCCTTACCAGATCGATTCCTCACATGAGCCCTCAGAAACAATAAGGAATAGTCACTCACTCCTAGTTCATAACGGAGGATTTAGTGCAGAAGAAGAGGAAGCAGGCAAGGAGGCTAGTGATAAAGGCTCAAGGCCACACAACTCAGGAGGCCAAGGGTCTGCGGCAGCGGTCAGGGCGGTGCACAGCGATCAATCTGAGCTTCCCCAGCCAGGCCCCTTCCTACTCACCCTCGCCTCCTCCAGGACTGACGTCCGGGGGGCGGCTCTAGGAGGCACGACTCTCACGGGGCCGTCCCTCTCGCCAGGCCAGGACACTACACCGCAGGGTCAGACCCCAAGGCGCTGACGCGGGAGAGCCTCAGAAGGCCGCCCAAGGGGCTCGACCACACAGCCTTCTGGGAGCTGTAGTTCCTATTCTGAGAAACTAGGAGACACACCACCCTCCGCCCTTTCAATCCCACAGGGCCCCGCGCGCAGAGGGCTCGGTGGGACTAGGCCGAGGGCCTACTGGGAAAGGGAGTTCCAGATGTCCGATGACTTGCTCGGCGAGGGAAGCGCAGGACTACATTTCCCGACGTGCCCCGGGGTAGACAGGACCCGGAAGTGAGGGCGTGCGAGGCCTCTCTGGAAGTTGTCCCGGGTGTTCGCCGCTGGAGCTCCGGGTCGAGAGGACGAGGTGCAGCGCCGGGAAAATCCTCTACTGCTGCTGGCTCCCGGAGCCCAGCCCTTTCCTAACCCAGCCCAGCCCAGCCCAGCCCAGCCCACTCCCAGCCGCCAACGCCCGTCCCTGCTGTGGACCCCAGCGTTACCATGAATCCTGCCGTCTTCCTATCTTTACCCGACGTCAGATGCTCCCTGCTGCTCCTGGTGAGTGAGTGGGGGAATGACAGACCTTTCGGCCGACTCTGGGACGCCTCCCGCCCTCGCCGAGGGGGCACCACTGCTGACCCTGCATTCCTGTCTTTCTCCGATGACCAGGAGTGCACTCTCCTCTGCTGCCTTCACTTTCTCCATTTGTCTGTTGGCTCCCTAGGCCTGGGGTCCTGGAGGCCTGAGGAACGGCGGTCGGGGTTGGGACCTGTAAACAAGAGAATTAGTTCTTGAGGAGTGGTACATGGGAGGGTCACCATGAGGAGCTCCCCTTTACCGCCGGGCTGCAGGGCTTGTTTCAGTTTTGAGGGTGTGTGGACCTGGTGGAAGCCTCAGTGCAAAAGGACGGAGGATAGAACCTAGTGTATTTCCCCCCCCTCCCCCTTCTCCATTTGGGAAGGCTGTGAAGCCGACAGGTGCTGGGGTCGTGCAGATCTCACTCTAGATCCCTGAAACGGTGCCCAGGTTGGCAGAACCCTCTGTTGTGGCTTCATAGGATTGGTTGGGAACCCGGAACTGGAAACTGGTTTGGTGTCTACTGGGGAATAAAGGTTTGCAAATATGGAGAATGTGATTATCTAACAGGCTCAACTCAAGGCCTCCTTCAGATCTTTACAACCTCCCACTGAAGCATATTTCTTTTCTCTCTTGTCTTGAGACCAGGTCTTCTGCAAACACATGCATTCATTAACTTTCTAACCTGCTCAGTGTCATCCCATTCTATAAAGGAATCTTTCCCTAGTTCCTCTGACTCCAAAGTACATTTGATTGTGTAACCTAAGTGTCCTAGGATTTAGGTAAAATTCAGACAAAAGTGAAGGGCCAACTCAGTGTGACAAAATGATGGGTATTTAATTGGGTAATTATTATAGTACAATATTTGAAACTACTTTAATTGTAGTTTTTAGAAATTTAAAATTTAAAATGAAAATTATTGAGTATAAACCACTTTCTTCACAATCTAAGGGACATAGTTAAGTAACCCACAGGAACTGGGGATTGAACTCAGGAGCTCTCATATGCTAGGCAAGTGCTGTACTATTGAGTTAAATCCATGGCCTTAGAAACAGGTTTTCTTAACTTACATTGCTTACTCCATCTTATCACCTTAAAGATTTACTATTTGTATTTGAAATAGTTTTCTTTTTCTTTGTGACTTGTAAGCCATGTTTAAAAGCCATATATGGATACTACTAGGTCCCTTTCAGATAAAGCACTATAAAAAACTAGATGAAATGGCAAAATACTTTTTTAAAAATATATTTTTAGTTGTTGATGCACCTTTATTTTATTTATATGCAGTGCTAAGAATCGAACCCAGTGCCTCACACACTTTAGGCAAGCACTCTACCACCCAGCTACAACCCCAGCCCTGGCAAAATACTTTTAAGAACTCAACACTGTATATTAACATGGTAATATTAAATGATGGTACATCTTTCTTTCTTTTTTTTTTTTTTTTTTTTTTTGTACCAGGGATTGAATCAGGGCCCTCGACCACTGAGCCACAATCCCCAGCCCTATTTTGTATTTTATTTAGAGACAGAGTCTCACTGAGTTGCTTAGCGCCTCACCATTGCTGAGGCTGGCTTTGAACACATGGTCCTCCTGCCTCAGCCTCCCTAGCTGTTGGGATTACAGCAAGTAGCTATCTTTTGATGATCTCAAGAACATCTTAGAACATACTGCTTTATGCCTGAAAATCCTTTCTGGATAGATAACTGAATACAAAAGTTCAATGTGATAACTATTTTCTGTGCTTTGATGTATGTTAAAATATATTCATTCAACCCTTTCTACTTATTTTTGTTTCTGAGATAGGTTTATTCAGGGTTGAAAGTGATCATCTTCAGCTTTATTCTTTGTATTGTTCTTTCTGCATTGATTGTGTACAAGAGTTTTGGAAATAAGGCTACATTGGAATGAAATTGGATCATATATCCTAAGTAACCTCTTCTATGGTTCAAAGTAGCAATAAGATATACCAGCTAAATGATGGTATATCTTACTGCTACTTTTCATAAGTATACAACAATGAATGATTTCTGTATAGAGAAGAATATTCTCTGTAGTGCTTTATTATTATTTAGTGATTTTTAAAAATATACTGTGATTCTTTATTCCTTCTAGAAATGTTGCAACAATACAATTATTAGAGACCTATTTCTCCTTAAGGAACTAGATACTAATCTTTTTCTTATCTATAAAATGACTTAAAATTGTCTTATAAATTATTTTAAAGTTCCTGAAAAGTACAAAGGACAAAAATCTTAAGACATTGGAAAGAAAAGTTGAAACATTGAATACGAAACCTACATCAGATACACTTTCCTCAAATAATATTCTTTGGTTGTACAGCTAAGTTAAATGAAAAAGAATTTATTTAGAAATAACTCATGCTTTTCCTAGAAAACCTACCAACCCTGTTAAGTATATAAAGGAACAGTTTTTTCCAAATAAAATCTCGATTTAATTAAATTTTAGTTAGCATTTTGTATACCTTTTTAAGCAAATGTAGCAGATATTTTAGAGAATACTTGTAAAAGTTAATGGGCTGGAAAATAAAGCCCCAGAAAAGACTTAATAAACCAGAATTACAAGTCATACTAGATTTAGTTTGAACACAGTCATTTACCTACTTTAATAATTTCATACTACTTAACAAATGTTTATAAAATGTCTATCTAATCACAACTCTAATTACCTGATGATTCTGTCAAATTATGGAACCTGCTTAGTCAGTGTTAACCTGTTTAATAAATATATTCTTTATCTTACCCAATGTACTTTTTTAAACATTCTCCAACTACCCCTCAGGTCATTTTTTTTTTCCTGTATTTCCTGCTGTAAATAGCCGTATATTCTCTTTCCACAGTTAAGTTTTTTTCAGGCATTTTATGCATCAGCTCTAAAGAACTAGATCTACTTAAGTTAGTAACATTTGTACAATAACAGCTGAAGCACAACCTAAGCTTCAGGAGGCAAGTAACTATCTTTTTGCTGATCTCAAAAACATCTTAGAACACACCACTTTATGCTTGAAAATCCTCTCTGGATAGATAACTGAATACAAAAGTTCAATATGATAACTATTTTCTGTGCTTTAATGTATGTTAAAATATATTCATTCAACCTTTTCTACTTATTTTTGTTTCTGAGATAGGTTTATTCAGGGTTGAAAGTGATCATCTTTAGCTTTATTCTTTGTATTGTTCTTTCTGCATTGATTGTGTACAAGAGTTTTGGAAATAAGGCTACATTGGAATGAAGTTGCATCATATATCCTAAGTAATCTCTTCTGTGGTTCAAAGACTTTTAGCACTCTGCTCCAGTTGCTTTATTGAAGATGTTTTCTCAATTTCTTGATAAATGTGTTTATATATAGTAGTCCTAATTGCTCATGCCTGAATGCTTAAGACTTACCATTGTTGCTCCTGGTTTGTTCAGTGTGCATAGGGAGCTGGGAGAAGTTGTTTAGTTTAGGAAATTAAGTGAATTAGAGAGCTAAGTAAACATTTATTTAATTAAAATTCTGTAAGTATCTTAAAAATAAATACAGTAAAACTCAAAAGTTGTCATTTTTTAACCATTAATGCCAATAAGTACAGTTTCCAATCTTCAAGAAAAGTATTTCAGGGGGCATGCAGTTCATTTTATAACTAAGTGAGTTATTTATCCTGCTGATATAATTTCCTTCATAACAGTGGCTTATAATACCTGACTTAGGATCACCTGGGACAATTTTAATGAAATAATATCAGGGTGGAGCTCAGTGGTAGAATGTGTTCAGTTTCCAGCACTGAAAAACAAAACTGAAAATATCATGGCCCTACACCAGATCAGTTATATCTGTGGGACCCATGCATTAATTGTTGAGAGAAAATTCCCTGTAATATCATTACCACATTTTGAAAAATTAATCAAATATTTTGTTAGTGTTTGGATTTTCCTGATTATGTCCATTTTTTAAAAAAAGTTTTTTTTAGTTGTCAGTGGTCATTTATTTTATTTATTGATATGTGGTGCTGAGAATTGAACCCAGTGCCTCACACATGCTAGTCAAGCGCTCTGCCACTGAGCCACCACTCCAGCCCAGATTATGTCCATTTTTTAAAAAACAGACTGAGCAGGGATGGGGTTATGGCTCAGTGGTAGAACGCCCGCCTAGCATGTGTGAGGTGCTGGGTTTGAATCTCAGCATCACATATAAATAAATAAAAAATAAAGATATTTACTGTCTACCTACAACTAAAAAAATAAATAATAATAATAAAAAAAAAAAAACAGACTGACCAAACCAGGGGCCATATAAGGTGTATACATTCCAATTGATTGATGTCTCTCTTATGAAACATTTTTTTTTTTTTTTTGGTGTTAAAAATTGAACCAGGGGCCTCGCACATGCTAACCATGAACTGTACCAAGCTATACCCCCATGCCAAAGTTTTAAATTTATAGGATCTCTCTCCATCTCATCTTTTTTCCTTATAAATTTCTTTAGGAAACAGTCCTGTAGAATTTCTCACATTATGGGTATTACTGATAGTCCTTGTGGTTTGGATTTTTGTTTTTCTGTTCCTTATGTTTGCTATAAATTTATAATTCAGTTCAAGTAATTTTAACCAATATATATGGTTAAGCTCATATATATGGTTAAGTTCATTTGTTTTATTTATTTTTCAATTTTTAGTTTTTTAACATTTATAATCATGTGAATCTACTGCTTTCAGATTAAATGCAAAGGCAAATATGAGAATCTTGTCATCTTTTATTAAACCAGATCTTAGATTTGCAGTAACTTAAATAATTTCACACTTCTCTCTAAAATCTATTTTGCTTAGGAAATAAGTTGTTTTTCATAAGAGATGCTATTTATGTTAACCTATTGTTGGTCTATTATTGTTAATTTGATAACAAATATGCTTTTTAAATTTCCAAAAAATTAATAAAATTTACTGCTTCCAAAGCAAAAAGTAAATGTATAGTTTATGGAACTT